GCTGCTGCTGCTGCTGCTGCTGCTGCAGTTCTCGTGTGTGCCCGGAGCTGTGCTGCTGGGGGTGAGCGAAGCAATCCAGTGCAAAGAAGACGGCAGCTTCGAACCTGCTTTGAGCTGCGTCGAAGCAGCAGATCTTTCGGAGGCGCAGTTGCGCCATTTGCGCCGCGAAGCCAAAGTGCTTTCTGCTGCAGCAGCAGCAGCAGCAGCAACTCCTTTCTCCGGTCAGTCCTAAGTTTTTGCTGCGCTTCCGTTTTGGGGGCCTTTTGCATGCACTCCTTCGCCCCCTTCTTGTTGCAGGATTTGCTTCCCACGGCAGTTTGCATGCATGCATTTGCATGCAAATGCATGCAGATGCTTGCAAATGCATGCAAATGCATGCATGCAATATATATATATATATTTATATATGTTCATGCATTCATATTGATATATATATATATTTGTACGTAAAAATATAAAGCTGTTTCTGCCTAAATAATAAAATGTAAATGCCATTTTAGAGAAATTTGAATTAACTTTTTGCAAATTTATATTTGTGGCCAGATTTGCATGAGACAAATTTGGCCAAAGGTAAATGTTTGCTTTTTGCATAAAAGCACTTATTTGTTCATTCAATTATTTATATTTTCATTTATGTTATATATTCCATTTATGTTACATTTATAATCAAATATTTTCATTTATGTTATATTTATAATCTAATTTATATTCATATACATGTATTTATATTTACATTTTAATTTGTGTTTGCTTGGTATATTATGTTGGACAAAGAAAAGCTAACAAATGCCATTTTATTATGTTTTAAATAAATAAAATAAAAATATTAAATGCCATTTAAATTAATTCGGGATAGATAAATAAATGTGCTGCTTTGATGTGTCTGCTGCTGCTGTGCTGCAGGGCCAGTGGGCCTGGCAGCTGCTGCTGCAGCTGTGTGGCTGAGCTGCTGCTTCTTTTTTTAGACTTTCTTTTGTTGCTGCAATTCTTAATTTGTTTAAAAGCAAAGCAGCAGCGGGGCCCCACACCAGCCCCGGGTGTACAGACACCCCGGCCCCACAGCTGCCAGCTGTACAGACACCCTGCGGGGTGTACAGACACCTCAGCCCCGCAGCAGCAACGGCGGGAATGCATGCAGCTGCCTGCAGCTAACGCGCCTCGGGACGGAGTCCGAAGCAGCAGCAGCAGCTGCTGCTGCTGCCGCTGCTGCTGCTGCTGCTGCTGCTACGTTTACTAACATGGGAGCTGCTTAGGACTTGGGTGGATACATTTCTGCTGCCGGCGAAGCAAAAAAAGTGCCTGCTGCAATTAATGTGAGTCAAATGATCGGAATAAAATAGAAAAAACAAGTAAGCAGCAGCAGGAACTGCAGCAGCAGCAGCAGCAGCGTCTGTACTGGGAGCCGCGGCGGCAGCTCCTGCTGCTGCTGCTGCTGCTGCTGCTGCTGCGTCAGCAGCACTGCTGCTCGCGCGCCTCAACAATGGCACTCTGTATTGAAGCCCAACACCGCCTCTCGGCGTCTGTGCTGCTGGCAGATTGCTGCAGCAGGGCAGAAAGCTGCTGCAGCAGCAACTGTTGCTGCTGCTGCTGTTGCTGGGTCCCCGATCCGTTGTCCGCTGCGTGCTGCTCCCCAGCAGCAGCTGGCACCTGCAGCGGCGCAGCGCGCAGCAGCAGCTGCAACTTGACCTTTTGCATGCGCTCGGATATATATTTTTAATACCACTCATTTTAAAACTAATTACATTTACTTTAAAACTTTTGTGCGCGAATTAAACGTGCAAAGAAGCTGCATGCAGAAGCTGCATGCAGTGCTGCATGCAGAAGCTGCATGCAGCACACCCCACAGGCTGCGGTGTATGTACCTGGAAGGCCTGCAGCATCCACTGAATGCATGCGCTGCAGCAGCGCAGCTTCTGCTGCTGCTGCTGCGGCAGCGCCTCCGAGCAGCAAAGTTCAAGTGCATCTGAAACCAGCTGCATCTGCTCCTCAGGGCTCAAGCAGCTGCTGCAGACGCCTGCTGCTGCAGCGTCCCGGTCCTGCTGCTGCTGCTGCTGCTGCAGCAGCGGCTGCCGGAAAGTGCTGCGGGGCACCCAGTGTCTGCTGACGTGGGCGCAGCCGTACAGCAGGATTTGCTGCTGCCGCTGCTGCAGCACGAGCAGCAGCCCGTGAAGAAAGGAAGGCAGAGCCCGCAGCAAAGCCTCAGCAGCAGCAAGCAGCAGCTGCTGCTGCTCCAGCTTCACCGGGAAGTGCTGCTGCAGCGCAGCCCACGTGCTGCGGCCAGTAGCAGACCCTAGAAAGCCCTCTGGGTTTGCTGCAGCACGGCGGTACCCATCTAAGTAAATAAATGCTGCCTGTGCAGCCCCAGCAGACGCAGCAGCAGCAGCCAGCAGCAAATAACAGCCCTCCGCAGCAGCAGCAACCAGCAGCAAATAGCAGCCCGCAGCAGCAGCAGCGAGCAGCAGCAGCGGGAGACGCACGCAGCACCGCAGCAAAGCAAACACCAACAGCAGCAGCAGCCATAGAAGCCGCAGCAGCTGCAGCATCAGAGGCAGCAGCAGCAGCACAGGTAGTAGCAGCGACAGCAGCAGAAACAGCAGCAGCAGCAGCAGCAGCAGCAAGGACTCGCCTGTAGGTGCTTCCCTCGCGACTGCAGCAAGTCCCCGTGGGCCCGCTGCAGCCAGGACTGCGGAAGGCCCAGCTGCTGCAGCAGCAGCTGCGAAGCCCAAAGTCTCCGCTGCACTGGCACTTCTGCACTCAGCTCTCTGCCGTATTTCCCCACAAGGGCCCGCGCAGCAAGCACGCCTGCGTCTGCAGCAGC